GGGGGGGCAGAGCGGATTTCTCTGCTGGCAGCTGGGGAAACGTCCTGGGTGAAGCTGGTTTGAGCAGCAACTGCTCTGGGCAGGCAGCGCCCCAGCCCTGTCCCGGTGACTGGGCCCTGGGGACTTCCTGAGACAGGCTGCTGGTTTCAGGCCCCTGCCACCTTCCGCAGCCAGTCACTGAGCCCTCAGGGGCCCCTAAGAGGCCCCAAGCACTTCCCAAAGGAGGGCTGGACTGTCACACAGTAACATTGGAGCAGGGGATTTTCTCCTCCACTTAATGGGGAGATCTGAGAGGGTATGGACTCGCCTCCCCCCTCAGACTGGGAGCTTCTCCATCATCCAGGGACCTTCAGGGGCAGAACTCCGGTCTCTCCCACCAGCTCAGGGGTCTGGAAAGTAGGAACATTGTCTCTCCCATCAGACAGGGGACATTCTGAGGACAGGGGTCACTCTGCATCATTTTGGGGTCCCTCTGGGCAGGGGCCCTGTCCCCCACATCACAGAGGGACTTCCTGAGGGCAGAGACTGGGCTTCTTCCACCAAACTAGGAGCTGTTTCCTCAGTCTGCTCCCCGCCCAGGGAGCTGGGGAGAGGAAGGGGGAAGGAAGCATCTGGGGGGAGGAGATGGTCAGCCTGGGGGAGAGGCTTGGTGAAGCCTGGGGGTGCTGAGGAGGGCAGGGGGGTTCTCCACTCTAACTCAGAATTAAAAAGACGGGGTGTTAAGAGAAAGGCTTTGTAGGAGAATCTGATTCTCCCAGCAGCTCTCACACTGTAGAGCCTGGGCTATGAAACATGATCTTGGCTTGAATTCCAGTTCCTTCTCTCACTAGCTGTGTGATCTCAGACAAGTGTCTTCCCCTCTCTGAGCCTTGGCTTTCCATTTATACATGCACCTGAGGAGGCTGCAGCTTTCCTGCCTCACAGTCTCCCTGGGCCCACCCCACCCTGCTCACCTAGCTTCCTATGCTTCAGGTCCCCGGGCAGATCGTCTGGGAAGGCTGCAAAGAGAACACCATGGTCAGCGCCAGGGAAGCTTCCCAGCCAGGGGGGCCTCCTGGAGCCCAGCAGTCCCTATGGCCTTGCTTTAAACACTGGAAAGTGGCATTGGGAGTCCCATTCCTCCCCTTCCTCTGACCCCTCTGCCTTGTACCCCAACCCCACCTGAAGCCCCCAGGGCAGCGAAACACGGGGAGAGGCAGAACACAAGGTGAGTTCAAGTTTAAAAAAAGAAAAAGAAAAACAACCTGGTTTTGATCCCTTCCTAAGCCGTGTGTTTGCAACCCAGCCTCTCTGGGCCATTGATCGCTCATCTGTGAAACAGGGGTGGTGATTCCTGCTTTGCAGGAGCACATTGGAAATCGATGAGTATTAAGTACTCAGCAGATCAACGGAGAAAAACCCTGTGTCCCTTAGCAAGGGGCTGATGAAACAAATTATGGTTCATCCACTAATGAAACCCCACACAGTCCTCAAAGAACAAGAATGCAGAAGGGCGAATGGGGAAGTGTACTGCTGTTTGCAATTTACTTTGAAATGTTCCAAAACTAAAATGAATGGATGGGTGAACAGATAGAGGGACAGACAGATGGATAGATACGTATTAAGGCAAATATCAGCAAACACTAGGTCCGTGTTGGATATGCGTTGTTTTCTCTCGCCTTTCCTGTATGTTGAAATTTTTCATAATAAAATATTAGGGAAAATGTTTATAAAATGAAAACAAAGAAAGAAAGAGGAATTCTAGAGCCGGGACCATGTGTTCCCCATTTGTGATATGGAAATGACCTCCCAGACATGTTAAATGAAGAAAGCCAGGTGCAGAAGAGAGTAGTTCAAAATGTGGTCATTTGTGTGGAAAATCTCTATAAAAAGAGTTGGCTTAGAGAGAAATAGAATATTGTTAACAAGGCAAAAAAGAAACAGGCAGCATAAATTGTTTTCAGGGAGGGAAACGGGACAGGGTGAGAAGGAGGTATTTTCCCCCCCTGACTATTCTTGGTACATTTTGAATTTTTACACCGTGTACCTGTTCTTCCTATTCAAAAATAAAAAGGCACAGGGCTTGCATGTGGTCTGGCACATAGCGAGCACTTGATTAATTGTTACACCCACTTTACAGATATTTTCATTCAGGGGATATTTGTGAGGTGCTGTGATACACCAGGCACAGGGGTAGGGGCCAGGGATACCGGACGGGGAAGAAAGACAAGGCCCCTGTCCTCACAGCAGGGCAACTAGGCAAAAGGCAATAAACAAAATAAGTCCAAAGTGTGACAAGTGCTCAGGTGCTCAGAGAGACACAAGCAAGCAGATAGTAAGTGAGGTAATCTATGTAGGAAAAGTGGCCAAGGAAGGCCTTCAGGAGGAGATGACATGTCAACCAAGGCCTAAAAGGTCCAAAGGAGCCCACCATGGGAAGGACTGGGGGAAGGGCATTCCAGACAGAGAGAACAGCAAATGCAAAGGCCCTGAGGCGGAGTGGGGAGTGTAGGTTACAGGAATGGAAAGAAGCCAGTGTGGCTGGAGCAGAGTGGCTCACAGTGAGTTTGGACAAGTGGGAAGGGTCAGATCATACGGCCTTATGGTAGGTATTTTGTAGCCATTGGATCGCTGGCAGGGCAGCAATATTATCTGATTTGCGTTTAAAAGCCCATGTTGGCTCCTGGGTAAGGATAGATTAAGGAGGCAGGGAGACAGAGCAAGGGGCTCAGAGAGGTTCAGGTACTCGCCAAGGTCACACAGATCATAAATAGCAGATCCAAGATTCAAACCCGGTTCTTGCTGACTCCAGCCGAACCCATGCTTGAAAAGAAGCCCCTCAGATACAGCGGTAACGACTAAGGATGGAAAGGAAGCCAGAGCCCAAGCGTCCTTTTGGAAAAGACAACCAGAAACGCCAGGGACAGAGAGCCAGCAGGAGAGTGGCCATTTGCACCTGGGCCGTCTGCTTCCTCCGTGGGTCACCAGGGAGCAGTGGGGCATGGGGAGGTGGGTGGGACACCCAAACCAGGTGGAGCAGACAGGACTTAGTGAGGGAAGCAACTAGGAGTCGCAACAGGCTTCGGAGACAAGATGGGGCCAGGAGAGAAGTAAGGCGAGGTGGGTCACGGAGGGGCTTACTCACGTCTTTTCTGACTTTTCTGCCCTGCTTGCTCCAGTACCTCCACACTCTCACCCATCATTTCTTCTGATCCTATGTGCTCGACTGGAAAATAAAACAAAGACGCTAACACACACCGTCAAGGGACACGAAGGTGACCCTCCACTGCCCTAATGTTGAGGAGGGATCTGACCATCCATCAGCGGGGGTCATCAGGGATTGTGGGGCAGGGAAGGAAATGCCAGCTGAGCCGAGACAATGCCCCACCACCACACACAACTTACTGAAAATGTCTTTGCTCAGGCCTTCCAGCTCGGAGTCCTGGAACACATACTGGTCCAGTTCCGCTGCCCAGACAAGGAAAAGTGTAGTCAATCCATGAATTTCCACTGAATGCTTATTGCATGGCCTGGCACACAGTGGGGACTCAATAAATGTCTGCTGAATGAGTGATCAAATTAACGAAGGAACACTGAACCTCCATAGGCTCTTAATCTACTTGAAGAGATGATATATATCCATGAAAACTTACCTATTGCTATGAAGTAGTACAATGAAGCGTGGCAGAGTTGTCAAATTCCAGCTCTACCCCCATTAGCCCTCCTAAGTGGGACACCTTAGACCAGTTACTTAACCTCTCCCTCTCTGGGTCCTCATTTCCTCATCTGTTTAATGAGGAATATCTATAACCCAGGGATAGATAGTGAGGATTAGAAGCTCTGCCTTCAAAGTATCCAGCACCTTAGGCAGTACACACCTAGGCTCTTAATAAGTGGTGGTTAATTACATAAAGCAGAACATGGATTGGAATCAATAGGAAGATGTTTATCACGGCAAGAGGTCAGAGGGTGTATAGTGGGATGGAGCAATCAGGGAGGGCTTCCCAGAGGAAGGGATCCTGGAGCCAGGCCTCGAAAGATGGGGCTAGAAAGTGGAGGGCTTTCTGTATAGGGGGATAGGGTGGGGAAAAGCGTGTAGGATCTGAGAGATCGGTGTTTGCAGTAGAAGTTTCATGTTGGGAAGAGGTAGGACGTAATTTTATAGGCAATGGGGAGCCACTGAGTATGGAGTGAGGGTAGCGATGATGAGGAGAATAAAAACAGTAATGAAGTCGGTGATGGTGGTAGTGGTGGTGGGTGGTGCCTAACACTTATTGAATGCTTACTCTTTGTAAATTCCTTTTCTAAACATTTTGCACACAGAAACTCATTCAATCCTCATCCATCCCATGAGGCAGGGGTGATTATTGTGCTACTTTACACATGCGGAAGCCAACTTAATATTTCAAGATGCCTCAAATGACTGCATGCCCAGGCCAGGGCAGGGCCTCCTAGAAGCAGACAGAAAACCCACAGGCTTGAGGGAAGCTGCCTCTCCACCAGCTTCGGCAGCTCCCACTTCCTGTGCAGATGCCCTGAAGCAAAAAAGCCCCTAAATCCTCAGTGATGCCCAAATCCTTCATGACTGCCTCTGGTTGTGAGGAAATGTGAATGCTCACCAAACACTTCTGCTTCCCCCCAAGTAAATTCCCAGGAAGGGAAGGAAGCAGGCAAGCTCTCGGTTCTGCAATTTTTGAGACACACACAGTTACTCCTCTCCATTTTCTGCCTTTGTGTGATTCTGGATTAACTGTGCCCTGGGGAAAGACCTGCACATTATGGCCAAGCACAGACCTCCTGAGTGATGTGGTTCTTGGGTTGCCAGGGAAACCATTCAATGCTAAGAACAGCTGTGCAGGTTGTTCACTGTACAAGGGAACCCAGCTAGAAGGGCAGATGGGGTGGGGAGGCACTTAGATAGCCAAGCTGTTACTTCCTGCTGGGGACTGCATCCCCCAGAAAAAGGGGCATTTTTTTTTCTAGTTCATCAAAGCCTCTGTATGAGATACAAGGTGACCCTGGTGAGGAGGGTACCTTTACCACACTCCACACCCCCAACAACAACAAAAAACAACAACGATACCTCTCCCTAAAGAGTTCTGCCCTTACCTGAAAGCTGTAGCTCTTTTTAAAGCTGCAAACCAGCCTCTTGGCTTAAACCTTAACAAACCTACCCTTCCCAGGTATTTCCCTTTTCGTTAAAAAGGACTTTGAAATGAGAAAGACATTGATTAGAATTTCAGACCTGCCGCTACCATCTCTAACGTAGCCTTGGGTAGGCTGCTTCACCTCTCTAAACCTCAGTGTCCTCATGCTGTAAGGATTCACGCATACAGTGATCAGGATGCCACAAGTACCCCCCAAATGGCAGACGTTGCAAATACTAGGATAGTTTGGCATAGGAGCTGGGGAGAAAGAAAGGGAAGGGTGTGTGGTATGAGCTTTGTGGGAAGGAGAGAAAGAAAAGCAAGATATAGAAGAAGGTACAGAGATGGAGGCAGAGGACATAAAAAGGAGATTTGTTTGCTTAGTGGTGACTAGTGAAGGGGACAATTTCCCTCACTCAGCCCTGTCTCCCTTCTTCCCTGGAGACTCTGCTCTATTGGCCCTTGTACCACACCCCCCTTGCCCTGATTTCTGAGGGAAGGGCCTGTTGTGGCTCATGTGAATGGGTGAGATTAACAAAAGAGGGGAAAGAACAATTAACAACAGAGGAAAAGGAACCTTTCCCCTCAATGGCCCTTCCTCTGGGCTCAGCCTGTTTCCTCACCGATATTGGCATAAGCCTCTCTGGTCTCTTCATCACAGTCCATGTCACACAACAGCCTGCTGAACTGTTCACAGTTGATGGTGTCCATGTCGGGTTCTGGGGGGAAAAGCCCCATTGGATGAAGCAGGAAAGATCTGGAAAGAGGGCTGCTGGGGAAGGAGGGAGAGGCGGGGCAGGGCTGCAAGATGTCCCTGAAGGGAGGGAGCATCATGCAACCGTTGGAGCTGTCCGTGGTTCTGACTGGGGCTCGGTGGCCAGCACTTCCCCTGGTTGCAAGTTTTCTCCACCGCGGGCTGAGAGGTGGGGAGGGACTGGAGAAGGGTCAGAGGGAGGGGAGCCCACCTGAGCAGAGCTCGATCTCTTCTTCACCAACCAGGTCCATCTTGTCATAGAGGTGGTAGAGCTTCAAGGGGTCAGCAGTGCTGTTGAGAAGGTCCAGGTACCCACCTTCCAGAGGCCCCAACTCCATGGTGGTACACTGCCCACTGCCTGAAGGGAAGGTGCATTCAGTCATCTCATGGAATGTTAGAAGGATGCAGGAGATTAACACCCACCGCAGTTCCCAGCCGGGTCAGTCAGTGAAGGCCAGGGTTGGCGGGGAGCCCAAGAAAGTGAGCAAAGATGTTCATTTAATGCCTCTTAAATGCTCAGGGAAATGGGGAGAGGAAACCATATTTCCTTCCTTCAAGGAACTTGTAGTCACAGTGGAAAGATGCCCGTGATTCAGGAGAGGAAACTGGGGAAGTGTAGACTCAAGACATCTCACACCTGGGAGCTAGGAGACCTGAGTTCCATATCTGGCGCCACCATGAATGATAAGAGCTGATATTTAAAGAGCACCTACTGTGTGGAAGACACATGGGTCAGCACATCTGATCCTCACGTCAACAGCCATTTGAACTAGATATGGTTACTACCCTCAGTTTACACATGATTAAACTGAGGCTCAGAGAGGTGAAGTGACTTGCATAAGGTAATTCAGGTCCAAGTGGAAGAGGGATTTGGTTCTGGGCAGTCTGACTCAAGGATATGCATTTAAGTATTATGCTCTACTGCCCTGGGTGACCTCAAGCAAGTCTGCTCCTCTCCATACCTCAGTTTCCTGATCTGTAAATTGAAGGAGTTGGGGAAGATTCTAAGAACCTTCATTATCATTTATTGAAGGGCATATCAGATTCCTTCGATACTATTTCACTTAATCTTTCAAACAACCCTGGGACATGTCCACACAAAAACTTGTAAATGATTGTTCATAGGTGCATAATTCATAGCAGCCAAAATATGAAAACAACTCAAATATCCATCAATGGAGGAGTGGATAAACAAAATGTGGTAAGTCCACACGATGGAATATCATTCAGCCATAAAAGGGAATAAAGTACCAACATACTACAAGTGGATGAAACTTGAAAACATTATGCTGAGTGAAAGCCAGACACAATGGCCACATACTGTATGATTTCATTTATATGAAATATGCAGAATAGGCAAATCTTTAGAAAGAAAGTCGATTAGTGGTTGGCTAGGGTCGGGCAAAATTTGTAGGGGACTATGGGGAGCAACTGCTAATGGGTATGGGGGTTTTTGAGGGGGGAATGAAAATGTTCTCAAGTTGACTGTAGGGACAGTTGCACAACTGTGTGAATATACTAAAAGGACCACTGAATTGAAAATTTTAAGTGGGTGAGTCATTTGACATGTGAATCATATCCCAATAAAGCTGATAAGCCCCGGCCCTGGAAGGTAGGCATTACTGTCTCCACGTTGCACATGAGGAACTTGACACTCAGAGAGTCTGAGCAGCCCCCTGGTATGCGCAGCTGTTGCTAGCTGGAGCAACTTTGAAGCGTTCTCATCTGTGGCCCCAATGCCCCTACTTCACTCTATTAGATAGCCTACGATTCCATCATATGCTCATTTCCTAGGGCTTCTGTAACAAAGAACCCCAAATTGAGTAGCTTAAAACAACAGAGCCTTATTCTCTCATACTTTTGGAAGCAGGCCTCAAATCAAGATGTTGGCAGTGCCACTGTCCTTGTGGGTGCTCTAGGGAGGGCCTTTCCTCACCTCTTCCAGCACCTGAGAACTGCAGCGTTCTTTGACTTGCGACCTTGCAGCCAAATCACTGTCATCTTTGCCTCGGTGGTCACTTCACCACCTCTTTGTGTCTCAAATCTTCTGCCTTTCTTTTAAAAGGACACTCGTCACTGGATTTAGGACCCACCTCTATAACACAGGATGATCTTATTTCAAGATGCTTAACTTAATAACATCAGCAAAACCTTTTTTCAAATAAGGTCTCATTTGCAGGCTCCAGACATTTGTATGGACATATCTTTTTGGGGGACATCAGTCAACCCACTATACATGGGATGCAGTAGTTTAGAAGGAAGGAATCAGAGAAGCTCCTTGGAAGTGGTGGAGAAAGTCTAGGCCAGAAGAAAATGAGGTTGAAGTGGGGACGGACAGCAGAAGTTAAGCACATGAGAAAATACACCCAACTCACTACTACTTTCCAGCTGCTGTTTTTCTTTTGTCTTTTCCTTCATCAACTCTCACTGCCTACAAAGGGTCTCAGCTCAGACCCCAGATACCACAGAGAATGAACTTTCCAGTCCAATGCAGGGGCCTGGTGGAGGCTGCCTATTTATAAAGGGCTGGGTGGGGGCCATAGGAGCCCAAACACAGGCTTGCATCAAAGGCCCAGCCAGCCATGACTGGAGGAAGCAGAACTGAAAGATGGGCCACCACCCTTTTCTTGGAATGGGGCCAAGTCTGGGTGGGGGTGGGGGGTGAAGGGCTTCACCTCTTCTGGCATGTTGGTCTGAGCCAGCCCCCCAATCCCCTATTATCTCCAGGGAGGGAAGAGAAGACCTCCCTGCCCAGAGTCTTGCCTGCACCCTGTTCATCAATGGTATTTACTCACAGCCGACTTTGTAGCAATCTGCCTCCTTCCCAGGCAGCGAGATCTGGTAACACAGCCCTGCCCTGACCCTATTCATCCCACAAACAAGTTATGTGACTTTGGCCAAGTTACCCAAACTCTTCATTTTCTCACAGGGACCTTCAAGCTCCACATCCTTGACCCTACAGAGGAGAAGATGAGACCCTGAGAAGAGACGTGCCTTGCACAAGGCTCTACGGCCTGTCATGGCTGAGCCTGCATGATCCTGCAGCACAATGCCCCCAGTCCAGTGCTCATTCCTGCCAGTGAAAATGATTCCATTCAGATGAACACCTGCATCATATCTAGGCCAGGAATGGGGACCGGGTCCTATCACAGACGAGCGATGGAGGAAGGTGTGGCCTGAAGAAGTTCAACCAACCTCATTTACTGACGGACTTGGGGCAGCATCACCAAGTGTGGTCAAACACCAGAGAAAGACGCCAACTCATTTGGGCTTTGGAATCAAACTGCCTGTCTCCGGAACTGCTCCTACCTTCCAACTCAGCGCAACCTGGGCAAGTTCTTTTTTTTTTTAACTGGAGCCTCAGCTTCCTCATCTGTAAAATGGGAATAAATCATTGGTTGCTCGTAAGGATTAAGCATGTTAATTCTCATAAATTCCTTGGAAAGGTGACTGGTGCTTAGTACATATTTAATGAATGGTGGCTTAAAACAGCATTCAGCATGTACTTGATGAGCACACTATGGGGGAATGGCCATTACTATTATTAATTCTCCTCTTACCTCTGAGAAGTTGACAAAGGGACCCTTTCACCCTGGAGAACAGTCTGGCACCACCTAGAATATCTAAGGTTGCATAGATCCTACAGTCTAGCAATTCAGTCCTTGGATATGTACTTCCCCAAGAAATGGTCCCACAACTCCACAAGGACACCATTTGAGGAATAGCACATGTTCACCACTGAGCGAGCTGTGTTCACAGGGAGGTGGAGGCCACCTGGGTGTCCACTGCTGGGGGAGGGACAGTAAAAAGTAGCCACAGCAATCCATGGAAGATGGTGCAGTGATTAGAAACCACAGCCAGGTGTACACAGAGCAATGCAGGTGAGTCTGGAAACATAGCACGGAGTGAAAAATCAGAAACAGAATGAGCTCTGACACCCCAATTGTAAATGTGTGGCAATTCTAGGCATGCACATAAAAAAGCAATGCACACATTCCAGAAATATATACAAACAAGGCTTCACTGCAAATGCATTTCCATGGGTACCCAGAATGATGAAAGAGGAAGAAGAAGCCGATCAGGAGAGATGCCGCATGCAGACCAAAGAGCAGAGTGTGCTGAGGTGTGCAGTGAACCCAGGGTCAAAAGGCTCTTGCAGTCTCAAAGAAATTTTAAAAATAAATAAATAAATAAAAATGACATAAGTTTCACGGTGTGGGGTGTATCTCTGTGGTTCACTCACAGGGCTTGCACAGAGCTTGGCACCTATAGATGCTCAAAACAAAACAAACCTGCACTCTGCCCATCCCGCAGGCTGCCCGGTGATGGGTTGCCTGGGCCCAAGAGCCCACGGCCCGAGGGAGGAGATGCACGGGGGTTTGGATGGACAGGGGAGGCAGGAGTCATCTGCAGAGGAGGGAGCCCCGCCATCTGGCCTGCTGTTTTCCAGCCAGCATGGGTGTCCCAGGAAAATGAGACAGAGGGGACTTTTAGGAACTGCTGGTCTCACTTAGGACTTTCACTTCCTGGAGAAGCTTCAGGAGGTCACAAGAGAAGGAGAAGAAACTGAGGAATGTGGCAATGCTGAGGGTCTTATGAGGCTGGGAAGCAGCTGGACGTCTGGTCATTTCTCCAGGCTGGGAGACTGGAAGACTATGTGCATGCATGCCTTTGTGTGTATGTGCATGTACTGTGGTTGGGGTAGCAGGCTAGACAAGCTTCATGTCAGGAGAGGTCTGGAAATACTGCTGTTGGTTGGCTCTGGTACTTGACTCTGACCGCAGGCTCCTCATCTGTGCTGCAGGGGGATTGGCTTGGAGTATGAGCTCAAAAGTGATGGTTGAGTGAGGCTCATAGGCATAGGTGTTTTGTTCCTGTGTGTGTCTGTGGGCCTGTGTGTCTGTGGGCCTTAATTACCATCACAATGTCTCCAGATGGAGTATACAGCTGCTTGTGACCAAAGTTCCCACTATTCCCTATTGCTTCCACCTGGCCCCATTTCAACAATTACAGCCTCTTAGGCATTTGGATTTGTAGCCATTGGCATGGAGGCCTCTAAGGTCCCTTCTATCTCTGACCTGCTGGAAAGATGATGGCTTGGGAAGGAGAGGTGACTGGGGCAGGGAGAGGCAGGGTTAAGGTCTGTCCTGCCACACAATGGAATTGAGATGCACAGGAGGGTCTCTTCCTATAGAAGGGCTTGGAAAGGACTGGCCCTGAGCACCCAACCCGGCCAGTTCCACAGAAGGAAGGAGCAGGAAGCGTGGGAGTTGCAGCACCCAGGGTGCTGGGTGTATGTCCCCGGCTCTGGTGTCAGCTCAGACTGAAAGGGGATCCAGAGGTACGCTGTCTGGGGAA